CAGATCATTTTTGTTTAGTTTTATTTATTTCACAAGCAACAACGGCGAGCACAAGGACTAACGGAGTACGTAGTAATAAGTGATATGAAAATAATGGATGGGGAGATGTCTTCAAAAACGAGTCTCCGGAATTAAAACATGAAAAGGAGGCGTCTAGCTGTTCAGGTTAGACAATGGCGGCCCCTCACCAGTCCACCGCCTTGGGAGGGGTCGACACTGAGATGAAAAACAAGGCGTAGGCTAGGCACGCATGCGCGCATACTCCGCCAAGTGTCTGATAAAGAAACTGCCCGCGCAAACAGCTTTCGTTTTTACTCATGCCGCCGGTGTTGGCGCATAGTGATCGCGCCAAAGCGATTGATGTTGCATCAGCTGTCGCATCGAGTGGAGCGGAATGGAGTGGAACACTCGTCCTCGAACCTGGTCTCGCTCTCATCGAGCACCGACGCTCCAAAGTGGCGGTGTTACCATCGATTTGTCTACACTCATCGCCAGATGAGTGGTGTGTGGATAGTCGTACTAAGTGGTGTGAGAAGATTTTGACAACACTGACCAAACTCAAATTATCGGAACTGTCACTTATGCAAAATTATTCACATGCAGTTCACTTCGTCTTGACGTTGCCCGAAATCAGTTCGGCAATGTGTGCGCATAATAACTTCACTGTCGACGTACCCCTACACCTTAACTGAGGCAGCATGGAAAGTCAGTTTTTTTTAATCTGATGTCAGATGTGATCATGTATTATACCAAATGCTGTGGAATATTATCAGGAAGGCGCTCTTTGCATTGGAACAGATCCAGGTGACGTGACTTGCCGACCGGTGTCCCTGCTCCCTGGCCGCCGTAAGGTCACCGGTTCCCCGCTTCCCGACCGTGACCCGAACCGGTCAATACATCCTGCGCCGCCGCCGCCGCCGCCGCCGCCGCCGTGGCACGACCCAGCGCACCCCGGGGCATCTATTGGCCCCGGCAGATTACCGTGCGCTCAATTGGCGCAGAAAAACGACACAGGCCCAAGTGGGGCGACGATTGGGTCCCCGGGGGTCCGCCGGCCGCCCACCGCACAGTAGGCGATTTCGCTATCCTAGCACTTCATGAGTTATATCTTAAGTTAGACTCAAAACCAGTCATCTTTAAACCCCTTATTTTGTGCCTAGTTTCATTGCGCTTCAACTGATATAAGTATTTGCATCAGAAGTAATCGGCTTTTCTTTGCAACGTGCAAGAGAGCGAGCAATGCCTTTTCCCCATAGGCTTAACACAGGACAGAAGAGGCTTAGCAAAAACATATACAGTGTTGTCTGTGTTATGACTTACTTCTCAACCAGCGTCAGTTACGGATGAACCACTTGATCGCAAACCACGTGAGCTGGTTTTGCAAAGAAAACATTGTTGCAGAGGCGCTTTCAGACTGGTCTGTTTGGGGAAAAATAGTACCAATAGACTACCACATTTCAGGAGATCGCAAATTATCGTGTTTTAGGAAGAAGGTAATTATCGGTGAAATGGAAATGGTTTAGCGTTGAAATTGCATGTAAGCAAAGCTAAGATGCAATTGCAAAGCAAAAAAGAGGAGACCATGACTTGCGAAAAATTGTGGTTGCTTGAACGTTCCGATCACATAATCAACAAATAAATAGCTTTAGCTAGTGTCGTGTCCACCTACAACGTAACGCTTATGTTTGGTGGTTGGGATTCAAAGTTGCGAAATGAATTTACGCTAACAAAGTTAAAGGAAGGAGTAGGAATTTCGCTTTCCGTTTGGCCTCTAAATGAGTTAGAACTTCGGTGCAACGTGGGCATGCTGCTCTCCCCAAACGGAAGCCATTTCTATGTATACCTACCCGATTGTAAGTTTTTTTTAGGTCAGAGTTCCCAGGTCACGAAAATGGTCGAAGGAGGTCAAATTGCATACCATTCGATTCGGCAGATCTTCCTGAGTTCATTGGTGGCTTGCCCGAATCGCTAGCTCAATTTGATGGGGAGTTATGGACCAAAAACTATAATGACCAGATCGTAGTGACGTCACAAATGACGTCACGCAAGTTCAACAATGCAAAAGTAAAGCATCGGACCTTGCAAAAGTAAAGCTTGAACTAGTTTGATATCGTTCCCGGCGCCAAAATAGCAGTGTTCATTTAACAACATTAACTCACAATGGTGAGACGTCATGTGATCGACCTGACCTCATGTGACCTTTAGGGAAAATCCGAGACATACAAACTGTGAATCCTCTGGAGGATACTAGGTTCTGTAAGTTTCATCTCCATGTGAAAGCTGCTCTGGCATTGAGGGCTTTGCGAAGTTGCGACACCTGAGGATCGTGCAGGGGTTCACTTATGACGTCATTGGTCCGTGAACTGACCTGACCTAAAAATGTAGTTTGTGTCACAAGATTCGACTTGAATCAAAGGTCAGGTATGCCAAGTTTCAGTTTTCTATCGCTGGCGAGTTCGGAGCTGTCGCGAACAGAATCTTCGGTTGGGCGGCGGTACTTCGCCCCTCCCCTCGGCCCTGTCCCCACCTTATACGGTAAGGGTTGAGCAAAACGTCCATAACTCCGTGAATCGCAAAAAGTGGCAGCCGATTTTTGCAGGATATTGAGACCAAACACCAGGCTACTATGTAATGGTATTTTTGTTACCGAATCTCCTGGATAGTAAAAGATGCGCATTGCCAAACATGGGTAACAGTATTGATCTGATGCATTTAAAAGGTGTGCTGCGAAAAATTATTAAAAATATAGATAAGTTTCAAAAGTAAAATTTGTGTGATGCATACTGCTTACAAGGAATGTGGCTTCAAATGAAATTACGGTTTTCAAGATAATTAACTTTTGTCTTGATTTACAGCCCTCATTGTAACTAGGGTCAAATCACGACCCGGTACCGTAGCTCAGCTTCTCCAACAAGTTCGTGTTTGGACGTTTGTGGTTTTAATGTGTGTGGTTTGGTGTAAAAAAGAGTGTCACATTTCAGATGCTGGGATATTTAGCTACAAAATACGCCAGTATTTATTCATATTTCCCATCATTTTTTGGGGGCCCCTGAAGCGCTAGAATGCATGGATCGCCTACAGTGCACCGTCCCCGCGGGGTCGGTTCGCGGAACGCGGCGGAGCTGGCACCGATAGGGTGATACGGGATCGGGGTGACCTGGCGGCCGATACCGGGGTCGGGATGCTGACCGATACGGGACCGGGTGTTCGGGGAAGCCCGCCCGCCGGCCGGCACGCGTACGAGACTGATTACTATGGTGACGGAGACGACGGGAGCTCGGGTAATGGCCATAGCAACGGCCGTAGCTACGGCGCACGGCGGCTCTGGAGCGGTCTGTAGCCGCCAGTAACTGGTTGGTCACGCAGCCACCGGTAACTAGTAGGTCTCGTAGCCGTCAGAAAGTGGCGAGTCTCTGAGCCTTCAGTAACGGTCAGCTCCATTTGAACCGTCGATAACTGGCAGTTCCTTTGAGCCGTCAGTAAAGGGTAGTAATCTGAGTCGCCAACTAACTGGTAGGCTTGAAACGGTCGATGACATCCTCAACAGTCTCACTTTGCCCTCGGTTGTAAGCACGCGGTTAGCGCGGAGCGGGGCTTGTGTGAGTCGGCCAAAAACATAAACTGGGGAGCTGCTCGGAACGGTCGCCGCGGGGGTTTACCGTGAAAGTAACCACCGGTCTTTTGGCACGTGCGGCGTACACAGGGCGTCTCTTCAGTTCGCGCACCGTCAGGCGGCGGCCGAGCTATAAACAGAGTGCGCCCCTCCCCTCGTCCGTCCTCACCACCCCGGTACTCTCTCATCCTCTCTCCAGTCTCCTCACCCCTCCTCTCTCCACGTCTGGTCCTATATTACACGCTGACCTCTCGCGGTCGGTCGCGGCTAGCAACAGGTACACTGTTTGCGACCGTATTGACCTAGCCCGGTGGGCGTCGATTGACGCTGAGTGCTCGGTGACCCTCGGGTCGCGACCGGCGGACGCTGCGGAACATCAAAGCGAGCCCGGTGCTCTCGGTCCCACCGGACAGAGGCGTGGGAAGGGAACGGTGGTCCCTGGTGTACGGTGAACCACGGAACCCTGGTCGGTGGCACTGGTGACCGTATTGAATAAGAGAATACCGCAGAGGTCCTGGGAAAATGAACCAGGAAATATGGAAGTGGCACAGTCTGGGCAGTGGTGCCTTTATCTTAATTTAATTTATTTATTTTGCTTCAGGCTAATTTTATTTATTTTTTTGTTTTTTGTTTCAGGCTAGGTTGATGTCAGAGTGGTATTAAGCTTTGTCGAGAGCAGCCTTGTGTCGTGAAAACAGACGTTCCTAAAATACGCACCAAATTCTAACAAAGCGACCAAAGTACTCTGGAAACACAGCAGCACTGGGCGAACGGGACTGGTCTGTTGTTTTGGGTTGTGGAGATTGGTATCCAATCCCGGTAGCGGGACTAGTTATGCTCCTTTCTAGCTGATAGTCCGACTGCGACTGCCGGTAGTCCGACGAACAAAACACTGAACACTTATTCCGGTCGCAGTAATCAAGTGGAAAGAAATAAAAAGTCCTCAGGAAAGTGCGTCACACCATTTTATTTCATTATTGAATGATTGTCCTCGTCTCTTGTCCTCGACCTGTAGATAAAACCGTAGACCTCTGTATTCCTCGGTAAACGTAAATCTATGGTAAAGCATTCACTGCTCACGACCACCACACATTATTATTTGCAAATGTATGACTACACTCGAAGTGATATGAGCCCATATGCAATGCGCATTGTGCGTAACATAATCGTTCTCCATATGCTGATGAATCTGAAACGTTCTTTCAGGTTGACTACAAGGGCATGCTATCCAAAGACACTCGCTTTCGGCCTTGACTGCTGCCTGGTGTTGCCTGCTATTCTTATTCACCACCATTGTTTACAGTTTGTGAACTGAGCTTACTCGGTAATCTCCCGAAAGCCCAGTCTGCGCTATTGCGTTACAGTTAGTGGCCCGGCTCTGTTTCAGAAAATGGATGGCTCGACGTGCATGGAGCTGGCTCTGGAGGGCGAGCGGCTGTGTAAGGCCGGCGACTGCAGGGCCGGAGTCGCCTTCTTCGAGGCCGCCATTCAGGTGAGTGGCGTGAGAAGGGAATGGTTTGATGAGACGGGTGAGAATTGAAGGTTTGAGGAATAGTTTGATGAGACGGGTGAATTGGATGTGAATTTGAGGGGGTGATAATGGGATGTGGATTTTAGCGGGCTTAAAATAAACTGGGAATGTTAAAATGGTGCGAATGGGCCGTAAAGGTAGGTGGAATGAGAATGAGTAAGAAAATGGGCGATAACGAGTAAGAGAATGAGTGGGTGAGGCGTGAGTCCATCCCCAGATGACTGCCTTTGATTGGTCTGAGGCTAAGCGACCGGTGTCCCGATCATTAGCTTTTGAAGTGTGGTGTTAACCAGAAGCGGGTATAACGGTTACCTATGCGCCAGTGGCAGCGCAGATCCGGGTCACCTGAAAGATAAAACAGTCGATACCAAACGGATGCGAGATTCGAGAAAAGCATGTTAGAACTTCGAACGGAAATGATACATCAAGCATCACTGTTACAATCTGCGTAGTTTTGCACTACTTTCTCTCGCTCTGCTGGATATAAGAAAGTAAAATAGGAATTGATTGCCCAATCGGGCATATCCTTGATAGAGCATCATTTACGGACGAACCCTGAGAAGGTCAACGGAAGCGGGGTTTATAACGGACACGACCGTAGACAGGTTCAAGAGCGCTGCTTTTCAAAAGTGGGAGGCAATCAGCGCAGGCTGGTTAGGTCGAAGTGGGCGGTTGGCTCTTCTGTTGCTGCCGGCTCCAGGCTATTGGCCCTCATCATCGCTTGATTCATTAGCTCGAGTGTCACTACTCGAGATCCGAGTGCTTCGTTCCGCAAGCGGGGCGAAAATGCGAGGCTGCTATTTCAAAATAAGTTTTTAATTGAGTGTATAAGGGATAATATGTAACTTTAACAGCCCAAGCGTATTGTGGTATGCATCACGCGACAAGGTTGTCGCGTAGGCATCGCCGCACGCTAGGTATACGTCAGGACTCCTCTGGTCCGTACGTGATGAATACCGCCTCTGCCGGTGTTTATGCGTGCTCAGCATTCCGTTCGGACCGATTGTGATTTATCGCATATTGGCGTCCCGGAGAATGGATTTTTTATAGGCACGCTTCCATTATCATAGGATGGCCATCCGCTGGCCAGTATTGGGATGGACCGATTGCCACCCACCGGCGTACACAAACAACCAATCATCATCACCATCAGACGTTTAATATCTCATCGGACGTGCGCACATTCCATCATCGGGCGTACCGCCGCGAGGAACGGCATGCAATCCCCTTAGCTATGGAGACTCAGGCTTCAGTGCGGCCCATGTGACGTCATCGTTCATAACGGTGGCTATTGCGCTGACCAGAAAACGACTCTAAACCTGAAGCCATCATGAGCCTATGACAACCATCCATACTTACCTTTCCGTATGACTGTGAGGTGTTTCGTCGGTTTCGTCATTTTGCTCTTGCTGATACTGATGCAAGCAGATCTGGCTATTCGACAATGTTCTACATAAACTTGAAGTAAACGCGGGTAACTGCGTACCTTTACTTTCTATGTTGCGCCGAAATAATAACACATGCTCACTGGCAAGCAATGGAGTTGGTGGGTTGTTTCGGCCATTTGCGCAGTAAATGTGACAATTAGCCACGATTTGCAACCACTCTCGCAGATGATATTGCACCTTGCGTTGTTTATCGTACTACTTCCGGGACTCGCTACAAGATTACAGAGTGCAGGGTGGCGGTTAAATTTAATCTGAGGCCGTGCCGTTATGGTGGGTGTTGTTTAGGAAGGAAGTGGAGGCAGGACGGCAGAGTTGGGATGCTGCTCGGGTCGGGAGGCTCGCCGCGCTGCAGTTGTATCGATCCCCGGGCCGGGAGTTGGCGGCAGACCGGTTGAACGGGCGCCGCCGGACGCGCGTCCCACTCCGCCGGACGGAGACGGAACGTTTTTGCGCCCTGTTGGCTCCTACCAGAGGGCAGACTTGATGTCGGGACATTTCTCCGTAGAAACTCAGATAAATCGCCCTGAAAAGTGATTGTGTTAAAGAACTTCTCTGTCGCGGATGCTCGTTCATTTGGGCGGACCTGGTTTCCGGGAAACAGTGGATGCTATCTGCTTGTGTGTTCCTCTTCGCTGGGCACGGCGAGCGTCCCGCTGGATTCCTTAGAGCTGTGCTGGTATATCGGTAGGTTCGTGAACGAACGATGGGGCGTTCCCTTTAACTCGGCTCAGTGAACTTACTACCACCCATTAGTCAGCTTCGGTACCCCATGGCATTGCTCTCTATCTATACTACCCAAATACATGAGTGCATGTCGGCCTCCAGATGACATCCAACCTACGACGGGTGTTTCAGTCCTGTCAGTAACAGTACCCTATCGGAACAAGTTCTGCCAATTTATCACCGCTCGCTAATGCAATCCATCGCTGCGTCTGACGACTGTGCCACGTGCGTCCCGAGCCGGCGCAGACCGTGGCGCACAAGACAGCCAACTTGAGGGCTAAGCAGCGAAGTTAGGCGTTCGTTGACCGGTCTGGTACTCGGTGTGAGGTGTGACCGATTTTGGAGCTTTTCTTTGAAGTATTCTGAAGCTTTTTGGTGTTTGGCGTAGGTGCCACTTATACTGAGGCTATTTTTTTTTTATAAATTTAGTCCGAACCTTAGTATAGGAAGGATTCACAAGGACAGAGCCACCGCTAAGCGAAGCTTGTTGCGTTGACCCTGCCCTCTGCCCCCGATCGCGCAATTCCAGTTCTATGGCAGAATTTAGAGTCCAAAGTTTAACGTGCGCACATAGTCGCGCACGGCCGGTCCCCTCACTGACTTCGCCTGGCTACGGCCTGCCACCAACCGCAACCATACCTGTCAGGAGGCCCAGAAATGTCAAGCGCCCGTCGCTCCGAACCGACTGTTATAACCGGGAACGCGTGCTCTCACCACGCGGAGTCCAACGCTCTACCAACTGAGCTACGGGACTGGCTCAGGCTATTTCAATGAAGGTGTCACTGATTTTTTTGTGGGGGGGGGGGGCTTGTTTGTGCTTGGGTAAAATGCGTCTGATTTCGCCTCCCGAAATATATGCGTATTATGACTTATGAGGGCAAAGGAAATGCTTGCTACCGCTGTGGCTGACTGCATTCGCTGCGTCGGAACTCAACAATATTGATTAATGAATATTTTAACTTGGAATATTAATGAATATTTTTGCGAAGTTTGTATAATTGTGAAACATTGTGAAACACAGTGATCAAGGTCGTATGTGACCGAAAGCTTTGTGTATTTAAAAGTAATTTTAAAATAAATATCGGTTGGTAATCTTGAGTTTCTTGAGTTGTCGTTATCCAACTGTCATGGATACTTTACATTAATGAATATAGATCAAATCACTGACTGTGGTTTTGTTAGTAATTCAACGCACACTGCCCTGCAGCTTCTAACTTGTGCAACTTGGACCGCCTTGTGTCAGCAATAGAATAAGGCTCGATATAGGTCGCACCATCAGTACAACTTCGCCAAGCTTGCTTATCAGGATATCACATTACCAACTTGGTTGTAACTCCTCCCCGTTGTGTGTTTTGCTTCGTGGCACTTGGTAGCACTGGCTCCATTTGAGGCTAGTCCGGTCGCGGATTCAAGCACTTCCCGTCGTCAACTTGTCTTCCTGCAGCCGTTAGGAAGTCTGGGCAAGACCTGAACTTGCCTAACCTGTGTCTGCGGGCTGCGGCTTCTGACCTGCCAACGAGCACTACACGCTGCAGAACGCGAGGATCAGTCATGCTTGCTCTCTGAACACGGGGGCTGCTCGGTGTGATGTCATTGGCACAGAAACTAATTGGTGCAGCTGGTACGACTTCTGTACTTGTCTTGCGGCACTTGAGTGGCGCGCGGCTGATTGGTGTCGCCAATTGATGCTGGTCATCTGAACGTGTACTTTGTGCTCAGTGCTCTAGATATTATGTACAAGTGTACGCTATACAGTGTACGGGCTACCTCCCGCTGGTTACCTGTACGGGTTACCTTTACGCTGTATGGGCTTCCTTCCTCTATCAGTTAATAGGGTGAACCCAGTGACAGTGACTCGGTGACCCGTGTGAATTTCGAGGAATCAATCTCGCCATAATTGGCTCTCTCCGTACTCGCGGGTCGTCGGTCCCAGGGGGATGGATCGCGTCCTATTGCTGTGGCGAGTACCTCTGTCCCAGGGCGGAGCGCAGTTAGTTGTAAATGGAACTGATTGGTAAATTCGTCTAGGCACTTCCTGACTCCTGCTCAGTCCGTCACTTATTGCAGCAAATTAGAACTTCACTAGGCTGGCCATGAGTTTATGTTTATTTTAACACCGCCTGGAGTGGAACAAGCTTAGTGAAATGAAACTTTTGCTCGGCCAGTGCCAGTTTTAGTGCTCAGTGGAATGTTTCTCCGTATCTTAACTGCTCACCTGGATTCAATATTATTGGTGAAGGCGGCTGGCCAAAGCCTTCCCAAATATTCCAAAGCCCCATTCCAAAGCCAAATATCGGGCTGGCCTAACCCGATATTGGTTTGTACCTAATCTAAAAACCCATGTAGCAATGTTTCCCTTGGGCTTTTCGGTTTGCTTAACTTTTATTATAAAAAAAATCATGATATAGATTAATGTCAGACAATCCCGACCGCCCACGATCCTATGAACATAAAATCGTGACCTGTCTACTATTCTTCGTCTGCCGTCTACGTATGCCCACAACGGCCTCTGAGGCCCGCACCGGTCTGCAGCGTTGTTTTTGCCTCTCTGGGAGATCTGTTCCCTTCCTTTCCGCGTGGCTGGACAGCCCGCGACCGCGGCTGACTGACGGGCTGGCCGACCAACTTAGCGACCGTCGGGCTGTCTGGCCGGTCGGCCGTACGGACGTTTCCAGTTGGGAGACTTTGATCAGCTGGAGTGATAGTGGCTGGCCGAGAAACGTTAGTTTTGATTACGGAAGTGGGCTCCGACAGAGGTAGGGTCCATCGTTAAATCTGACTGTCACCATGTCTATCAGAAAATCTAACCAAGGTTGTCAGGGTGGGGCGGTTGGGTGTTGGCTCTCCAGCTCCCTCACCCTGATTTCTGGGTCGAAGCCAGGGTGCGTTTGGTACCGGTGGATGAAACGCATGAGAAGTTTTCGAGTTTTCCTTACCAATTATACAAAGAAAATCATTCGGATTATGACGCACACGACGCTCAGGTATTTGTTTTCAGTGTTGGGCTATTATGGTCTTCCATCTCATGGTATCGGTATAGGCACAGACCTCTCTATATATAGAGAAGTCTGTGGCATAGGTTGGTATGGGTAATGCTGATCGGGTGGGGTGCGTGGTGGGGGAGAGGGTGGCTGGGTGGCCGAATTTGGTGGTGGCTGGGAGGGCGAGTCTGGTGGGTTCATGTATATTCGTCAGACAGGCGAGGCTACTGCCGGCTCTGTGAATATTTTATGCTGGTTAGTAATGATCGATGCGGGAAGTGATGAGCATGGGCGGCTCATCACTCAGCTCATCTCTCTCTCATCAGAGAGAGAGAGAGAGAGAGAGAGAGAGAGAGAGAGAGAGAGAGAGAGAGAGAGAGAGAGAGAGAGAGGAGAGAGAGAGAGAGGAGAGAGAGAGAGAGAGTGAGAGAGAGAGAGGGAGGGAGAGAGAGAGAGAGAGAGAGAGAGAGAGAGAGAAGAGAGAGAGAGAGAGAGAGAGAGAGAGAGAGAGATTCGTTTGTTATTCGTGATCATCGGGAAGATCGGAAAGCCAACATGGGACGCGCGTCGTCGCTGCTTGCGCCCATGAATATTGAATTTATCATTCTTCGGCCTTCCTTTGAGTGTCCAGTTACTCGTCCACTGTGTTGTAATCCAGGCTGTAACAACGGTATTATTTGCCATAGGCGGCGGAACGGGGGGGGGGCACCGGGGCACCGTGCCCCCCTTGAATTCTGCAAGGGGGGCACCAATAGCAAGGTGCCCCCCCTTAAATTTGATGTATTAGTACCAGGGGCGGATTCGGGAAAACTCCAAGGGGAGGGTCATGAATCGAAGTGGTGCCCCTACCTATGCCCAAAATTAAAACCTCAACGGATTTCGGCCACTTAATTTTGGTGGTGCCCTATTTTCAGTTTTTTTTTTATTTTCTTTATTTTTGGTTAGTCATGTGATGACTGGTGCCCCTGCTAGGCCGCTGGTGCCCCTGGAAAGACTGTGGTACCTACCTACCCTGCCCCCTGACAAGCCTACTGTGGGCCCTGACATGACTTAGGTGCCCATGGGCCCTGACAGGCCCGTGGTGCCCCTGACAGGCCTGTGGTGTCCTTGCTAGGCCTGTGGTGTCCCTGTTAGAACGCAGGTGCCCTTGACAGGTTTGTGGTGCCTCTGACAATCCTAAATTGCCAACGACAGGCTTGTGGTGCCCTTGACAGGCCCATGGTGCCCTTGCGAGGCCGGTGGTTCCCCTGCGAAGCCGATAGTGCCCCTGGCAGGTCTGTGGTGCCCCTGGAAGACCTGTAGTGCTTTTGCTAGGCCGATGGTGCTCCTGACAGGCCTGTGGTGCCACTCACAGGCCCGTGGTGCCCCTGCTAGGCCTGTGGCATCCCTGGCGGGCCTGTGGTGCCCCTGTCGGCTATCAGGCCTGTGGTGCTCCTGGCAGGCATGTGGTGATCCCAGGCCCTAAGTCATGACCCATGTGACCTCCACCCTGGGATTCGCCACTGATTAGTACTGCGATGGCTTCTTGGGAATTATACATGTAGGATAAATGGAATTTATCAAACGACAATAAGGAAGAGACAAACACATAGGTACTTGAGGATCAGCTTAAAGTTAACCACACATACGGGCAGGGGTGTAATTTTCCTAAAATGATTGTGGGTGCCCAGCTGTAGGGGCGCCCGGCGCCAGACCGTTTTGGGGCGCGATGGATATTCTTTATGTGGGAGTCTAAATTAACACCGAATTTGATAACATTGCTAGCCGAATGGCGCTTCAAGTGACGTGTCTGACTTAGCAAATACACGCTTAAAAGTGGAAACTGACCGGAAGGACGTAAAAAAGATGTAGAGAGGCGCCATCCAGTAGGAGGGGCACCAAATGTGGAGGCACCAGACGGTTACGACTTACGAGGGCGCCGTGAGACGATGAAAAGGGCGCCATTCTCTTAGGAGGGCGCCGAGTGATTGAAAACGCTATGTGGTCCAGGGGCGCTAAGAGGCCAGAAGGGCGCCGCACAATCAGTGGTGCTACGTTGGTGGGGACGTGGGGGCGCCAGATGGTTACGAGGGCGCCTTGAGATCATGAAAAGGGCGCCATTCTCGTAAAAGGGTGCCGAGTGATTGAAAACGCTATATCGACACCTTCTTTTTTAAACCCCAAATCTGCTAAAAAGTGTCCAATCGTCCGATCCTGATCAAATATGTGTGTTCGTAGGCCTGTTCTGGTATTGCTTTATCTGCCAAGACAGACAAACTTGAGAAAAATCGAGTGATTGTACCTTTTTTGAAGGTCTCTAACCAACTTGTCTGAAATTCACCGGAGAACAAATGTGGGGTTTAAAAAAAAGGTGTCGATATGTGGTTCAGGGGCGCTGAGAGGCCAGAAGGGCGCCGAACAGTCGAGGGATGCACGGTGAACAGAGACCTAAGGACGCGAGATGGTCAGGAGGGCGCCGTTAGACCATGAGAATGGCGCGGTGCTGTCAAAAGTGCGCCATTCTCCCAGAAGGGCGCCGAGTGATTAAAAACGCTATATTATCCATGAACGCGAGACGGTCAGGAGGACGCCGTTAGAGCATGCGAAGGGCACCGTGCTCTCGAAAGGACGTTTGCAGCCTTGTAAAAGACTTGTGGGTGGATTTTCATCATTGTGGGGGCATAATTCAGGATTGTGGGTGCATATGCCCCCACAAAGAGATATAAAATTACACCCCTGCATACGGGGGTGAACTGCCATTTTCGTTTAGTACAAAAAAAAATAAAAAAATCAAAAAAATCATCGTGTCAGGGCTGTGACGAAAAATAAGTGGCCTAAATCCGAAGAGAAAACAGGATTTGGGGGTACCCTAGGTTTGGCTCCTTGAGCCATGGTGCCCCCCCCCCCTTGTCTCAAATCGTTCCGCCGCCTATGTTATTTGCCTATGTGCTTAGTTGAATAATCTATGAATTGAAAGCTGTTGACGAAAGTACCCTGTGTTTCAACATAGTCCGGTAACTATGCACTTGCGACGGATAACTGCACGGCACGCTACTTGCTACCGTAGCCGTTGAACGCGTTCATTGAAAGTGTTTGTTATGTGTCGTTCCACAGGCGGGAACTGACGACCTGAAGACGCTGACGGCCATCTACAGCCAGCTGGGCAACGCCTACTTCTACCTGGGCGAGTACAGCAAGGCCATGCAGTACCACAAGCACGACCTCACCCTGGCCAGGTGGGTCTGGGAATCCTGGGAGGGCTGTCAGTGTACCAATGTCGGTATTCGTGTGGTGGTGTTTTTCACGCGCGGTAGTGACATCCGCCGGGGCCGGCCTTTGACCTGGATCGACCTGCGGGGACCCCCATGCTGCCCTCCGCCTGTCCCCGGTCCGGCCCGGCCCAATATTGCGCTCCCCCGGCCCCCCACATATTGTCCGGCGGGTCGCGCGGCGCTGATATTAAAACCTCGCTGACCTCCAGTGCATTTTCGAGCGGTGCGCGCCACGGCTCGGTCAGACAGGGCCACTGACCTCACGCTGTAATTAAAACAGTCATTCCCCGCCGCACAGACCGCTATCGTGCCGTCATGGGCTTAATTGACCTACATTGTGGGCCCCACTGTTATTCTGAAGTTGGCTTCGATAAAGGGTGGTGTTTTCGGAAATAACACATTAGTTTTGGAGTGATGGAGCCTAGTTCAGCCGTTGAACTGCAGATAATTTACATAACTTTGTCCTCCTTTCCTTGCAACTTCGCGTTGTTCCCATTGTTGTACGCCACTAAATCATGTAGGCACGGCAGTAGTGCTTGGGTTGGAGTTTTGAGTTTGTAGTTACTTTTGAGATGTTTTGGCGAAGCTTATAATAAAATTGCTGAGTATTTGTATTAGGGGCTGCACTTCTTGCTTCATTAGATACCTTTCAAGAATGCATACATACATTTAATCATGTAAGATGAGAATGACTATTGCCTGCCCAAGAGTTTCTTTGTATGGATTTACGCCAATGCGTCCCGCTTTAGCACAAATTCCAGTTTGAGCACTCCAATCTTAACTGATTGATATAAACACTGAACTTGTTTTCTCCAAAGGAAGCGAACTTTCCTGCATTCCTTCTCACGCTAGTCAGGTACAAACGCACTCTGTCTTCCCCGGGTGTGTCCAGGGCGCCGGGCTGGGAATTGTGTTCTTGTTTGCACGACTGCTGCGCTGTGTTCGGCTGGGACGGTGTGTGCTGGTCGTGTCTGCCGAACTCCACCGGTGCGTTGTTGTGCGCCGACCAAGTGCCCAGTTAATTGCCCGTGGCGTGTTCTTGACGGGGCCGCTGCTGCTGGAATGTTAAATCATGTTTGTTGAAGATCCTTTGAAGCTTGAACGCCACCTCTACACGTCCGTCACTTTCACTAAGTATGCAGTGTGGTAGGCAGAATGAGTTTTACGGCAATGGGCGTGTGACCTGCATATATTTTGAGCCTCTAGACATCATCAAACCATTTTGAAAACGGTAGATCTATTTTTCAATCAAAAAATGCTCACACTGGGTTTTGTATCGGCACTTGAGCTGACAATGTTGCTTTGGTGAAAAGGAGGCTTGACTGAAGTTTTCGTGAACACGTTTACATTATAAGTTATGGATTCAATAAGCATGGCCTCGGTCGCTTCATGTATCGCCTCTCTGCGTCTCGGTTTTTAACCCGCGCCCGGCTGGGGGTCCTGGATTTCCACGCCCTGCTGGGGGGGGGTGTTTGAACACCCCCCCTTGTAACTCGGCTCATGGGCCACGTAGCGATACGCGGAAGGCGGCGTTCGAAAGAGCGTCAAAAATAATGACGAAATCACTTCGGTCAATTTTTTGCTCAGGTCAAAGGTCAGGTCACCAGAGGTCATTGAAGGCAAAATTTCGCCGATTTCCAGGTCGAATGTCGAAAATTTCCAAGAAGCCAACGCATAACTCGGGAACCAATAGAGCTACAGCGCCGCGGAAAAGCGCATTCGATAGCCCTATTAACGCCCTTTCTGAGTAATTCTCTCAGATTTGACCTAATGTCAACGGTTTTGCCTGCAGGGGGCAAAAACTGCAAAAATAGCCGATTTTTTCGAAAACAGTTTTTCTGCAATAACTTTTGACTTAAGCCTTGTACGAGCTTACTTTTACCGGCATCGTGTTCCTCTCGTCAAGACGCATCGGATGAACTATAACTTGACCTTGAAAGGTCAACTTGAAAATTTGACCTCAGGTCAAGGTCATGACCTGACCGGAAAGGGTCATGTTGCATATCAGTCGATCCGTATCGTCGAGCTGAACACATCTAAGGCGTTTTCATCGCTCTAGCATTTCTCTATCAAAAGTTATTTGCGAAAAACTGTTAGATACCATTCGTGACCTAAGATGACCTCAGGGCATAAACAAGGGTCACTGACACCATTTTCATGTTCAGTGTGTCTAAACCACTTGTAATTCGGTGTTTGGGAGTGTTTATAATGTCTTGCATCCAAAAGAAGCGCATTTCAATTTTCTCCCATTGACTTATAATGGCGAGGTCGCAAAATTGACCTGACCTTAGGTCATCGATATCAAAATTCTGAGAGATACATTTTGTACATGCTATTGTCCTTAGCAATCGCTGAAAGTTTCAAAGCGATCGGTCACTCGGTGTAGCTATGACAGACATTGAAAGTTTTTATGAGGTGAGGTCACTTCAAGTGACCTGGTGACCTGACCTTGAATGACCTTGGTCTGAAATTTTCACAACATGTGTAGAATTGATGTATGATAAGGTGTACCAAAAACGGCGGCGCTCCGCGCCGCCGTTTTTGAGATATTTGCGAAAAACCACAAGGGGGGGGGTGTTCAAACACCCCCCCCCCCCAGCAGGGCGCGGGTTAAGTGAGGTTGCTGTGTGCCATAAATTTAGAGAGGAATAGTACTGGTAGGGTCCTATATCTGTATTGACGTAGGCAGACACTCCACAGCACACTGTGGCTATTCCGTGTCTAAAGTCGTGGCGAGTAAAAACACATACGTCAGGGTAAATGGCAATAAAAAAATTTCAAATCACACACCTATAGTCATATATCAGACACCCGCCACGCACACAGACACACACACGCCATATGCAACCACACTACCGTCAATCACAGCCACTCGTCACTCCATCAGAAAAAAACGCCTTCACTGCTCTCTTGAAACTGCCCGGATCGAGGTCTAAAATAATATCTGCCCATCATATGCGTCCTTTTCTGATGTAACTGCGGTGCATTGCCATGAATCCAATGCTGAACTACGTTGTGTGTTCCTGTTGGCTTGAAGCCAAGCGCTTGCTCGACACAAGCGCTCGACTCCAGCGCTCATCAGGTGTCTTGCCCAGACGCTGAACTCGGCACTGGCACTCGATTCGTGCATTCAACTCCAGTGCTCAACTCAGACACCAATCCCGGACGCTGAGCCTTGGCAGTTGGCAACGCTTAGCTCCGTCTCTCGGCTCCAACGCCAAGCCCTGGCGGCTCTCAGCTCCGTCTCTCAGCTCCGACGCTCTGCTCCGACGCTCAGCTCCAACGCTCGGCTCCCCGCAGCGCCGGCAGTGAGCCGGATGGCAGGCACCAGCCGGCGCCTTCTCGGGCGTCTGACGGCCTGCGGTGAGCGGTCCATTTGGGCCGCCAGCCGGGCCGGCTGACACCCGCCGAGCCGGTTATCTCCGCCGGCCCGGCCGCAGCTGGCCGCCGCTCCCTGCTCCCGCTCCTCTGCCCCCTCTGCCCGGAGGCTGGGTCGGCCAGACACGACCTATCGGATGCATAGACGCGTAATGCGGCCGCTGGCACGGCCCGATAGGTGGCTGTTAGCCGCTGCTCCGTCGGCGGACGGCGGTGAGAGCCCAGGAAATGACATCTCATGTTTGTGATCGCTCAGTGGCTCGAGCAGCCATCGGCCGCTAATGCAGCGCGCCGAGAAAATGGCCGGCGAATTAGGGCATGAAATATGAATAGCTGTTTGCATGCCAGACAGTTTTAGTGTTTTGTTCCTAAATAACTGCAAAACAAGTGATCTTCTAGTGTGTCTAGACCGAAAACATGGTAAAAATAAATTAGCGATCATCACAGTGCCAGTGGTCAATTTTCACACTAAATGCATAACACATAAGACTTTGTTTTCCAAAGTTATGTTGTAATTTCGCAGCTGGTCCGCCTAGATTGCAGCATCAGAGTTAGAAAGAACTACAACCACGCCTTTATGACCATACTAGAATCCAAATCCATGCATCCGGTTGTTGTAAATGGCTAACTATCCATGCCAACCGGCTTATTATTAGGACCTCCCAGAATAGCTCCCTCGCTGGCTAAATATGCCATCCAAACAACCTGGGTCGCTGATGGGAGCGACGGCTACCAGGTTAGCCCTATCTCGTGACAGGCACTGCCCAAATTAGCGTCGACACGACCGACCGGTGGCCGGCCGTCTGACGGGACTGGAGGGCGCCCTCCCTAAGCGGGCCTGCGTCCCCGGACTGACTGCGACACGCAACGTCAGGCGGGTGGGGCCGGACGACTCTCGGCAGACTGGCGGAGAACTTATTGACTCACTTACTCACTCACTCACTCACTCATGCACTCACTCACTCACTCACTCATGCACTCACTCACTCACTCACTCTCACTCATTTACTCACTCTAACTGTCAGATTCACTTGAGTGACGGGGATCGTCTGCACCTGGATGCCGTCTGGGACTGAGACTGAGAGACTGAGACTGAGAGAGGATATTCGCCTAGCTCTGCGGGCATCCATGCCGGCAGTAAAACTGCCCCTCCTTGGCTCCCCGGAACACTCCGTCGTTTTGCCGTCATCATTATCCGCCCGAAACGGGCACATTTCCGGATCTGCTCCGGGGCAGACAGCGAACCCCGGGCACGTCCAACCGCAGAGCGTAGACAATCCACCTACAGGCCGTCTGCCACGTCTGTCTCTGCGAGTCAGCAGACGGGTGCCGACTTCTGCCTGGTCCACCCTGCTCCAGCGCCGCTCCGGGCTGTTTGTGGCGGCTCCGGCTCCGGTGGCGCGGAGCACGCCCTCTCCGGCTCCGGATATCCGCGCCGGCAGCCGGACGTGCGCCCCGGAGCGGTGCTGATGGCCAACTCCGGCCGTGGGGCACGCTGTGTGGCGGAGCGCGGCGCAGCGCCGGCTCCGAGTGGTGTGCTGCGGGTCAGTCTGCCATCGCAGGCGGTGGTGTACTGCGGGTCAGTC